GAAGAAGAGAGAGAGAGAGAGAGAGGGAGGGAGAGAGAAAAAAGTAATGACAACAATAATATCATCAATTATCTTGACGATGATCAATTCTCTTTGAAATCATTAAAACTTGACATTTTCATCAGCTCTTTCATTTCAGATATTCACTTTTCTTCGTTATGTCATTCGAAGATCTTTACGATTATTGCTTCCGAAATATTGGTCTTATACATCTCATTCCATCTTCTTCAGCTAAAGGTTAATTTTAATTAAAAATTTTTTACAAGAGAAAACCAAAAAAAAAAATAGCAAATGATAATGATTAAAATGTTGAGAAAAAAAGAAATATTGGAAATGACTAAAATTTTAAAATGAAATAATGGAATTGATTATATCTTTGCAAAAAAGAAAAAGGAAAAAAATAAACAATGTAGTAATAAAAAAAATGATTCATTGTTGATGAGGAATAATTGAAATAATTAAATTCGAAAATGAAATAATGAAAACGATCAAATATTGGAAATGAAATAGCTGACAAAAAAAAGAAAAGGAATTAAATGTTGGAAAAAAAAAGATTATGAAAATGATTCAGTTGTTATTTGTTTGTTACATTGTTGAATGTTACAAACTTAATTTTTCTAATTCAATTTCTAATTTTAGGCTAATACTTTTATCATTTCATATTAATGAGCATTTAGGATCATTAATATCATTTTTTTCCTTTATTGCTCAGGTAATAATGAAGATCAAAATGAATTAACAACATTGGATACTGTATTCACCAGTTCACGATATGTCATTTTTTACCTGATCAATTCTACCAGTACCCGTTCACTGGAACCCGTTTTATCGCTAAAAAAGCTTGTCCAACAACGAAATAGCATTTTTGCTAATTGTCCAAGGGAGTGAGTTTTTGCTTAATTTTACAAGTAATAAATTTGAATTTGAAAAAAAAAGGAAGAAAAATAGGCAATAAAATTTTATAAAATAAAATATAAAATTTTAATTGCTGCATATCTTTTATGTTATTTCATTTATTGTATATCTAGATTATACATTATTTCAGGTGATTTTAATTAATTTAAAATTTTCACATTCCATTCCTTATTGGATAATTCAAATTAATTTATATATGTTTAAAAATCAAAAACTTTTATTTTAGTACATCAAAAATTGCAATTTGCAATATATGAAACATTTAATCATATTATTCTTCATCAACTACTTATTAATTACTATTAATAGATAATTTAATTTAATAAAGGAATATATTTGAAATGAAAAAAAGAAAAAGATATAAAATGGGAATAAATTGTTGCGTAAAGTTTGTCAGTCGAACTTTATTGGCGATACAAAATCAAACTTTCAATTTAATTTTGTAATTAACTAATAATTAATTGTATGCAAATATTTTGTAATAATTATTATTTAAAAAGAAGAAAGGAATGATTTTTTCACTCTTTTCTCAAATATTTCATGGATAATAATCGATCTTTAATTACATTTAAAATTTATGCAATTTTTTAGGTTAATAATTTTCAATTCCTCAACATATCATTTATTTTTTCATCGCATTCCTGTAACATAATTCCTTAACTGATAATGAATCCGGAATGAAAATATATCAATCCGGAATGGAAAATGTATAATTTTTGATATAATTTACATAATACATTCAATTAATTTTGCCATCCTTCATTCTAACTTTTATTTCATTTGTTATTTTCAATAATATTAGCATTAAATTGATTTAAATTAACAAAAATGTAACAGCTGTTTAACTGATTGCTTATCATCAATCTTATATGTAAACATTTCTTTTTCTTTCCTTCTTCTTCTCTAAATAATCACTTTTTAAAATTACATTTATTATTTCTTTATTTTTATGTCAACTATTTAAAAAAAAAAGAAAAGTTAAATATAAAAAGTCAACAAAATCTATTTTTATAATTATTATCTATTAAAAATAAAATAAAATGAAGAGAAAATAGTTTAAAAAAAAAACAGATAAATTAAAATTATTTTTCTTTTTCCTTTGTTTTGTTTCGTTTTTTTTTCCAAATTTTATGCTAATTTATTTAAATATTAATCATTTTGCAATCTATAAAATTGTGAAATGATTGTGAAAAGAATGGGGAAAAGAAAAAACAATGCATAATTAATTTGGATATTATATAAATTTTTTTTGTAAAATTTCTCCCAATATTACAATCATTGATTTCTTTGTTTAAAATCTTTAACAAAGATGAAAATTTAAATATGGGACAAACATTTTGTTTCCATTTTATTGAAAAATTACATGTCATAAAAGAGTATGATTTATAATCATCAATATAATGGTCATCAATATAATGGTCAATATAATATG